TTTTTTTTTTACGTTGTTGCTATATAACAATTCGTTTATGCAGATTTATCAATTTTACAAATACAAAATGCGATTAATGCACTTAACAATTTCACGGTTTATCAATTTTACAAATTTAAATCTATATATATATAATTACTAGCTCGTGCATTTAATAAAATATTTAATAAAACCTATTTTCATTTCCCTCCAAAAAGAGTTATATTTTTTTTAATTAATTACTATTAGAAACGGGGGAAGAGAGTGCGGTCCCACCAGATGAAGGCGCACCATAAGAAGGTGAGCCTAGATGCACCTTAGTGAGGTTCCATCCCAAAACCAATTGGTGATGGGAGGAGTAACCCACTAGGCTTATATACTAGACTCATTTTCCCTGTAGAATCAATGTGGGACACTCACAAGTGATATTCCAACAATTACTCACTAATTTGCTAAAACGTTACACCTTGATATATATAATTTTTTTTTAGGATCAGTTACTAAATTAATTCTAAATTTGGTAGCAAAATATTCAAATACGTAATGGCTAATATTGAAACTTAAAGTTGATTGACACATTCAGAGTTGTAACTGTTATATTTGGTTGCATTGTTGGAAGAAAAATATGATTGGCACATATTTTTTTTCTTCTAAAAGTCAGAAAACCAATAATTTTTTTATTTATGCTAATTTTTTTAATATATGGCACCAATATATATATTATTTTATTCATATTACTAATGTAAACGTTGCATGTTTAAAATAAATTTTAAATCTCAATTAATTTTGAATAATAAAAATACCTTAAGAAAAATAATAATTTTTATATGATAGAAGTACATGTATAATTAATATATACAAACAAAAACATATTTTATATCTATGCAATGCACATGATCAAATATTAGTTAAGAGTAATGCAAACGATTAACAATTTATGCAGATTTATCATATTTACAAATAAAAATTGAGATTGTAAACCGAAATATTATGTAATAAATAAAATAAAATTTTATAGATACTGTTGTAGAATTCACAATTGCAGTTGTGTAGATAGATAAACGATGAGCTTCTTTAAACCAGTCTGCGATGGAT